AAGCCTGCCAAGAGCTGCCCATTAACAAGCAATTAATATACAAGCTTTAAAGTACAAGGTTGCTCATGCCATCCCACAGAAAATATTCTTTGCCTGCTATTTCTCACTGGAGACATTTTCTGACTGAACATTCTATCTCTGCCAGGGATTTCAAAAAGTAGACTGTAATTCCCGAGAAGAATAAAGTCTATACTTGCTTGCTCTCAAAATAGTTGGATTGATTAAACTTTAATCTTAAAGGCTGTTTTCTGGCCCACTTAACAACTGATGTAGTAACAGAAATGACACCATTAGCTGTACAGCATCTGCCAGCAATCAGAACAGGGTAACAAGGCCATTCAAATATACATTGTGAATATGTAATTTATAACATGAGGACTTGGGGGGAATAAAAAAAAAGTTCACTTTGGACTTGCACCACCACCATTTATAATGTAGCTCCACTACATCCACCAGGCAATAAAGTCTCAACTTAGGCAGCAGCATTTCTTTGCATCGATGATTCTCACCATAGAAAATGGTGCAGAGATGAAAACAGCCTTTGAAGAACTTCTGCTTCCCATCTGACCCCTACGGGGGCAAGCGAGGGTGTAAGACGACGACGTGGTTCTCCATTTCAGTTTCCCAGCCACAATAGCTACTTACAGAGGACAGACCATGGCTATTTTTCCTTTAACCAGAGGACAGACTGAAGGTCTGAACTGGATTCCTCGTCTGCTGCAGGGCTTACACAAATCTGGGCTGTCTGGTGCTTGGGGCCAACCCACGACAACGCACCCATCCTTACAAAGTAGACATTAACCTGCGCAGCAAATCCAAGAACAAAGGCTAAAAGAGAAAACCCCATCAAAAGGGCACAAATGCAACTCCACATTCCTCAGAGGACAAAGGATTGTTGTGGTTTTCGAAGTAAAATATAGCTTATAACAAACATCACCAGATTATGTGTTTTGCCTGGTAAAAAATAGTTTCAGACCGGAGGCAATTACTAGCCCATATCTTGGAGTCTGACTGCGCTGGACCTTCTCCAGCTGCAGAATTCAGACCTGCCAAGTGTCACTCATTTAAATTGAAGTCTATAAGTTTTTTGGCTTTAATTAGAAAAACCCAAAAGCATTCAGTGCTTCAGTCCTGCAATACTAGATCTATTACCAAACATAGCCAAATGACCTTTATCACGTTAAGGGACACAGAGCTGACAAATAAAGGCTCTTTATGACAACTTCAGCATTTGTGGGGGTCTCTGCACAGCCCCCTCGCCCACTCCCTTGTTTATATCCAGTAGCAAAAGCTGCCAAAAGCTACAGAAAGAGCACAGAAAGATTCTCTCACTCATTGGCCATTCTTGCTGCTGGCAACAACCAGTTAATAACCAGTTAAGGTTTCCTGAGCTGCATCTTACACTAGGATCATTGTATTATTCAGTAGCAACTGATGGACCTGTCCTCTAGTCATGTGTAGAATCCCTTCTTCAACCTACTTCTACTTTTGTCCTCTGCGGAACTACTTCCATATTTTAATTACATGGCATTTTCTTGGTTTATTCATCAAAATGAACAAAACTCTTGGGATAACAGTCAGTGGATCAAACATTGATTCACTTTAATTACCTTGAGATAGACATGAAATAAACATCCTTGTATTATAATGAATTACATTTTAAAATCAACTTACTCTTGCCCCTTCTTTCCTTTTTTCCTGAATTTTAAGCTCAGTATGATTAAAGTGCTAAAATGTAGTTTTGTTTTTAGCCAGCAGTACCTGATTTTAAACCATTCTGTGATGAAGTGCTGCTGTTCAATTTTGTATTCATCTCCAGTGTTCCTGAACTCCCTCTATTCTCATTTATATTTACACTTCAGCTTTCATGCAAGAGAATCCAGCTTCAGAACATGATAAACAAGTCGCGATCCTCTAAGAATATATCAATTCCCAGATGGTGAAAGAAAATGAAACCAGATCTTCATGTGAAGATCTAGCTCTTAAAAGATTCCCCCTTAGGCAGTGTGGAGGCCTGCAAAAAGCATGAGCATAAATACCATGATATTCTGGTTTTCCCAAATACCACTGTTCTCAGCTTCATTGAAGTTCCTGTCGTGGCCACACTGTAATTTTGTACAAAATAACAGACTGTGCAACTTCAGAAATAATCTGAATTCAAATGTGACTCTTCAGTGAGTCAGGTGAGGTTTGTTGCTGCTACAGAAGGGTTTACACTGCTTTGATAATGCTTTAAAATGAAAATTTGCAACGGTGTGTGAGGCACAGCCTGTTAGCTTAGCACACCCTTACAAACAAGGTCAGGAATCTCATCACCCTTATCCTGATGCGACATTTTAAATACATGTCATGCCAAAGGGTCCAATAAGGCTGAGACCTTCCCATTTTCATAGCCCTGAGCTGGATTTTGCAGTGTTTATTCCTAAAATAAAACTGCACAAAGAAGAAACCCGGGCTTTGAAACTCATTTGATACTGCTCACCCAGGGGCATGCTGGAGATATTTTGCCACACAAGAATTCTAAAAGCATCTTAGGGAAGCCAAAGCTTCCTCTCAGGGCATATTCCTGATTACATGCACTGCAGGACAGCAATTTTATAATGGTATCTCTGACTTGTACGTGTTGCACACTAGAGATTCTCTTTATGATGCTAAACTATAATGAATCACACACACACAAAAGAAAAAGGAAAAAGATACAATGCAGAGCCCAGACTGACATGTAAATCCAGAGATTCATGGGTGGGATAAAGCAAGCTGAAACAGCAACCTCAGGCATGTTGTTTATATAAAGAAAAAGCAACTTTAAATCATATGGGTAACACCAGTTGGCTTTCATCTGTTAGTTCTTTTGCCTTTGTCATTTGCCCAGCACAATTGCTATGTTAGCAGGAGAGTCGGCAATGAAAACTCACTCCTGAAATAATACAGACAGAAAGGGGAAGCCAAGGTCAAAAAAAGAAAAGGAAAAAATGCACCTAAAGACTCAATTAAAAAAAAAAAAACAAAGCCAAACAGTTAAACGGTCAGTTCTACATCCATGATGGAATGGAGTCTGCGATGACCAAGATTGTTGCTAAAACCAGCTTGATTTCAGTGGAAAGAGAGAGCGGGGCCCTTATTCAGCAGCACGACGTATTAAGAGGTAGTCGGTGTGCTCACTCAGAGCAGATGTTGCTCCCAGATCCCTGCTGCTTCTGCGCTGTAGATTATGGGCCAGATTTACAACAGTATTTGGGGACTTAAGCATATTACTGCATGTCACATGGGACCGGCGGGAATGCCAAACAAGGTTGCACCTCTTATTTAGGTTATATCAGCAGAGCAGTTGGAGATTCTCCTGAGGTTGTGTCTTTAACTTCTCCAGGGCAATGAGTGCTTTATTTTTGCATACTTCACGAATTCCCGTGCAGTGCTGGCACCACAACCACAATAAGGACAGCAGTAAGTGAAGGAATTAGCCACAGCTACGCTGACACAGGGAAGACATCTCTGCTACTCTGAAACCTAATATTCCTGGGCAATATTCCCTCTCTACCTAATTAATATTTTTCAACGTTTTAAAGTTATTATTTTTTTTCCTGTTTGCAATAAAAGATTGCATGAAGAGTTAAGAAAATCATTAAAATAATCCTCACAGGCTGACCTCAACAAACAAGGAAATTCCAAATCAAGAGATACCACTGAGCTCTGGAAACCTGACAATATTAAGAACAGCGGAGGTGAACTAAGGGCAAAGTAACGGCTTTAAATACAACTGTTGTTTGCTATTATCTGCTTTGCCCTTTTGTTCTTTTCATCCTTGTTAGCAGGACAAAACCACAAAGTCTTAGTATGTGCTAGATGGAGTCACAGGCCGATGTCTGGTACATGCACCATGCCTTGTAGTGGAGAACTGGAGAACTAACACTGCTGTGTCACTTTATCTAAATATTAATAAAACTCCTTTCTATATGGCAAAATAAGAAGATGCACCTGAGTTTAGGAACATGTGCTGTTCCATACCTTACGACTCACAAGCCTGATGCTGCACTGAGTGTGTTTTCCTCTGAAAGATGGGTAAGACAGAAAGCAAACAGAGGGTATGTTTGGATCACGCTGTCTTTTCGGGTTAAAAACACCGCAACTCTGTGGTTAGTCTTCTGGAGACATTCTTTAAAAACAAACAAAGTATCCCAAACGTGTGCTCTCTGAAAACAGAGCAGAAACCTCACACTGCTCTAGGGTGAAGGTATCCACCATCCCCGGGGAGATTTCTCAGAGAAACACGATGAGACGTGCCCAAGGCCTTGCACCAAAGCAGCTCCCATCATGGCGACTGGCTCTTCCCTCCACCAGCGCCTCAGGGGCCGCTGTGGCCACCCCAGGGCTGCAGCAGGCCCAGGCCCCTGCCAGAGGGATGGAGGGGGTTAGGTCCCAGTCACCCCCATCTCCCCAACCCTGGGTCCTCACCACGGGGGCTGAAAACACCCCAAAACCTATCCAGGTACTCTCTGCGAACCCCCGGGGAGAGGCACAGCCATCACCTCAGGGCCTGGCTTTGCTGGGGGCACCGCCATCCCCAAAGGCGCCTTCCCCCTCCCTCCCAGGCCTGAGGAGAAGGACAGGCCACGGCCTCCCCGCTGCCGAGAACCCGGGTGCCGGGACGCTGAGGAGAAGCCCCCGGTCCCTTTCGCCCCCCGCCGCTCTCCCCTCACCACGGCGCCGCCCCGCCCGAGCAGCCATTGCGGGGAGGGCTGAGGGGGGGCGATCGACCGCGGGCCCGGTTGCCGGGGCAACAGGCGGACGCCGTCCCGCGCCTGAGGGAGCCGCCACCGTCCCGTGAGGTGAGCAGCCGCCGATCTCCGCCACCGCCCCGTGAGGTGAGCGGCCGTCGGCCTCGTCCCGTGAGGTGAGCAGTCGCCAGCCCCCGCCATCCCCCCCCCATAGCCCCGCCTGAGGGGGAGAGGCCTCCCTCAGCGCGGAGGACAGCCCTCCTCCGGGGCACGGCCCTCACTCACCCGCCCGCCGGCAAATGGCCTCCACAGCTCGGCCCCCGGCCTCCTCCCCGCCGCCTCCAGGTGCTGCTCGACCTTCCCCGCCCTAGGGGCCGCCTTCACCCCTCACCGAGCTCCACCTGCCTCGGGTACCGTCGCGGGGGGTGGGTGTGGGTGTGTCCCAGCCCCGAGGGACTGCCACATAGCTGGCTGTTGGAACAGATGGCCGTGATTAAACAGCGTGATTAATGTGGAGGAACCTCTGCAGGAACTTGGCAGCAGGACAGGTGATGGTTAGCCTGGCTCCTGCTCTATTCCCACTTACGTAAAGCTGAGGTGAACAGAAGTTTCTTTGTTCCCCTGTGCCTATATTGCAAGACACTGTGTTTCGCTCCTCGCCCTCCGTTTAAGCTATGGATCTCATCAGGCTTAAGCGTCTCAGTCCTTCAGAATATTTGCGTCACGGCCCCAAATTAGAAAACAGAAGAGCCGTGATGCAAGTTCGGAGGGAACACCCGGATGCTCCCAGCCGTGCCCCTGCTCCTGGGGGAAAACAAAGCTTCCCCACAATAATCTGCCTGAAGAAAAATAATCGGGTAATCAGTTTGACCTTAATCATATGAAGTGGGAAGATTAGCCAGACATCAAAATAGATGAGTCGGGCCTGGCATTTCTTGTGCTGTATCAGCACACCCTTGGCCAACCCCAGCCTTTTTAGCTAGTCAAAAAGAAGGCAAATAGACCTAAGAATAAGTTGAGCCAATCACGTCCCGAAGGGTTAGGGCCAGGGTCAATCTTGCTCAGTTCATGGCAGAACAGATGATACCCTGCAACAGGAGATTTAAATTGTGTTGATACAAAGATGCAAATGTTACAAGCCTATTGATTGCAGCTGCCGGCAATTTCATTGTCCCTCTGACATCCATGAATTACAGGGATGAACAGGGGAACTCGCAGATTCCCATGATCTAAGATCAGAAAGGACTGTGAAAACCAGCCAGCTCAATCTCCTTGCATTCAGAGACCAGAAGCTGTGTGAAATGGTATTTTTTAAGTATAGAACTAGCTGTGAATATTTCAGGTGGTGCTGAGTTGATAAACTGTTCCACTGCTCTGTTATCCTCATCACCAGGTAATTGTGTGATTGTGGTGTTTTAAAACTTGCCAGCCAACTTTGCAGGCAGTCAATCTTGTTCTGCTTTTGTCAGTATTGTTGCAAAGCCATTTACAATCAGGTGCTCGTTAAAGGTGTGTGTAGATAGACACAGTGATCAAGTCACCTCTTAACCTTCTTTTCAATTAAGCTGAATAAGTTAAGCTCCTTAAGCCTTACATCATTAATGCTTGTTTTCCAAGACCTGGCTCATTTTTGTGGCCCTTCTTTGAACTCCCTTCAGCATTTCCACATCCTTCTTTAAGAAAAGGGATGAAAACCAGATGCGATGTCCTCTTGCTCTTCTCACTAATTCGTTGCAGAAAAAAACCGAGAAACTTCTTGATATTCACTTTTGGATATCCAAGGATAATCCTAAACTTCCCTCCCCCTCCTCTTTTTGAGGGAGCAGTGTATTACAGAGAAGATTTTAATTTCTTTCAGTACAGCATTTTCATTTGGTTTAACATGGAGTAGGCAGAGAAGAAACTCTTTCTTTAGGAGTTCATAATCGTTTCAGGGAGAGAAAATGACCCACGTGATCTGTTCTCTCATCTGTTGTATTTTCTGGTGTTCTTTGAGTGGTTTTTTTGATACCAGTATGTTCAACACTGATATGTGTACAGGATTGTAGGCTTTGCACGTGTGGGAGATAATACAATGAATAAATAAGGAAAAAATATGGAGACAAAGTATTATTTCGGGCCCTAGGCAACTGACAGAGCTAGCTCTCATTTCTGTCTTACTGAGGGAAACACGTTCATACACAGCGCTACAAGCATAGTATTGTCTCTAGAATTATGATATTAAAATAGATATTTGTATATATTTTTATGATGATAGATACTAAATCCTAAATGCAGACCTTAGTCTCACAAAACACTCGATTTTAATTTGTGAACGAGACCAAAATTAAGTTATACTTTCATGTATTTTGCAGGATGTGGCCTAAACACCGACAGTTCTTGAATTCCAGATAGTCTTCAACAGCAGCTTCAAAACGAGAAAAAATGGAAAATGTTTATGTTTTCCAAGCTGTATTCCCCTTTCAGTAATACCAGCAGACAGACTAACCAGCAGAGTTTCAGTGATGCAACAAGATTGAGTTTGGCCCTTGGGGAATAACTTTAGCAGGTTGACTTAGGCTATCTGATATGGAAAATATTCTCAAGCGTTGGTGTGTCACAGTTCTTAAAATATTAAGTCACTGAAAATGCCTATGTAAAAGAGTGTCTTAAGGAGGGAATCAAAGCTTCTGGCTTCAGAGCCTCGTGCCCTTTCTTCTTAAATAACCATTCAGCCTCCAACTGCCTATTTTCCCCTCCCTTTTCCTTCTTCACCCCTTCCCTTATTCCTTTAGAACGAGGCCTACCCTCAGAGAACCTGTTTTACCAGGGGTAATACCATCACACACCAGTAGCTACACTGAGTCCAACTCTGCATTTTTCATTCAGACATGGAAGCTGATGAACTGCAGAAATAGCGTTACGTGTTTTCATCAGAGCTATGAAATGGCATACGTTTACAATTACCCAGCATGATTTTCATTTAATGGAAACAAGTCCTTTATTTCTCTCTCTAATTCTAAAAAGTCATCATTAAATTTTGTATGTAAATATTAATCCTGCAAAAAACACCACATCTTTATTCTGGTATTAAACATGTAGGACACGATCAGAATCAATGGAATTTTGTTCACGCTATCTTCCCAATGTGTTATAAAAACATAAAGCATAAGATCATTCTTTACATCTCTCTTAATCCTTGTTTTCATTTCCTGAGATTGCCAACAAGCAATCAATTTATGCCAGAGAGAAAGAGGTATTTTGCTTGTCTGCTACTGCTTAGCTGACGTATTTTCAATCTTATATTGGCCTTTTACACGAGTGACATTGCAGTTTATTGCTTGAGAACAGCAAAAGTATGAAAACACATTATGAGGTTTTTATGAGCAATTCTGAGAGCAAAACTTGCACAGGTTGTGGTGGTTGAGATACTTTTACAGACTGCATTTGATCACTGTATACAATGAAAGAGACAATGTTTATAGGAATACATCACCTCTTTCACAGAGCAGAGCTGCAGGTTCGCAATTAATGATCTGGTGTCAACTTTGTTTTCAATTGTATTTTACCCTCTGAAAATAAATAGCTTTATTTTCTCTAACAATCTCTCTTGATAAGCTTTTGAGCTAGTGGCAAGTCTATTTAATATTTTTGGATATCAGAATATCCAAGTTGACTTCATCTCTTCTGTTTGCACAGGCTATAACGAGTTTTATTTCTCTCTTTACTTTTGCAGATGCTACATAGTTTAGGCAGCAAGAGAAGTATTCAAGGTGGTTGGTAACTAACGGTTTGTTATCAGCTTTCTTGATTCCTTTGATCATTTGAGATATCAGTTTTTGAAATCCAAAATATATATTCTAAGAATGTATCTAAGAAAGTTTGGGTTTGACATCTCCTTAGATATCTTTGATTCTTTTAGAAAAATGTTGTCATGGTACTTTCTTAAAGACTATATTGTGCTCAATAGTCTATGAGTTTTGCTCTTAGCACTTCTGATTTATCTCCCTGGTTTCTCTGTGAATATAGCTTACATTATCTCCTCTGGTGAGTGGAACACATCTATTTTTACAGGCCAGTTGGAATGTTCTCTCCAAAAAATTTGCATACTGCTCCGTGGATCAGGCTGCTATACCTTTCTCTCACATTACCTCTCCTTTGTTTCCAATTTAATTGAATACAAGTGATTAAGCGTCTGGATATGTTCAGAAGGGAAGATGGCAGCAAATAAATTTTCAGGTGCGCAGGGAGCTTCTAAGCAGACAGAGATGGATTCTCTCTTTAACATGCAGCTCCAAATAGAGGGCAAAGTCGGGTAGTACTGAGGTGACCAGATTTTTCAATTAGAAAGAGAGTGCTTTGGTATTAGCAACTTTAAAATCCCCGAAGTACATCAGGCATATTAACCAATCCTGTGATCTGTACAGATGAAATCATGATATGAAACCACAAAGCTGCCAAACTATTCCTCTATGGCTGAAACAACCATAGGGCAGATATCTGGTAGGTACCATCTCCCTCTTCTTCCACACCCTTCCCTATAGGCAGGAACATGGGTTTTTTTCTGCATAAATTGAGTCATCCAGTTATTGTACGTACCTTGCAATGTCATTCTCAGACACGTTAAAACGAGATTTATGATTAGAATTAAAGCAAACTGCAGAAATCATTGTGTTGGCATAACAATGTATTTTGTTAAAACAATCTTTATATCCAGTCTGGAATGACGAATACCAGGACGTGTTTATCATCCTAAGGAGAAACAGAGTGAAAATGAGTAAAGATGAAGAAGGGCATTATCCCATAAAGCTGTAACACTGTAGTCTAAGCGAGTTTACCAAAAGGAAGCTCAGTCCATCCTCAAGTGGTCTTTATGGCTCCGTACTCGACCTTGCTCCCTGTGTCACTGTGGTGAGGCCGAAGACATCTGCTGGCACACTAGTCCTAGAATGTTTCAATTTATCATTTTAGTAGAGACTTGATGAATTATCAGGGTCTAGGGACTGCTCAGAAAACAACACTAATTCTTTCCATAATATTTTGGATTCTGACAATGTGTTACCAAAGTTTCCTGTGATCTGACTCCTAGTGTCCTGTCTATGAAACTAATACTCTGCTGGACCTTGATGCCACTAATTTCCTGCTAAGAACAGTCCAAGCTTGTTTAAGGTAGCGGGCAATTTTGCAACTACAAGGTTTAGAATTAGTACGAAAAAGCTTTAATTTGCCACCAGTGGTAAGACAGCCTTCCCTTTGAATAGAATCAATTCTAAGAAAACAAAAACACTTTATTTGTGTACAGGCTTCAATCACCTGGTGTGAGATAGGAAGCACAGAAAGACAGAAGTTGGTCAGCAATGCGCAGTATGTGAGGGATATGCCATACAAGATGGACTCAGAGTCCCAGGTAGGCCACAAAGCAATAGAAAAAACCACCACAGTATATGTTAAAAGTTATTTCAGTTTGGTCTGAGGGTAGTCCTTTTAAGATGGCTATTTCTAAATCACATAATTTCTATTTCATTATCTTATAGAGTAGCATTTGTAAAAAGCAACAGAAGGT